ACAAGGCCTTTCTTATCAAGGTCTACACATAGGTTATAAAATTATTAAATTATTATATTGGATTTAGGAATAATTATGAAACTGGTTATGAAGAATAGAAATGGGCACTCATTAGGCAATTTTTGTCAGAGTCAGGTGGGTTAAGGCTCTTATGATGCAGTTATATTGTCCCTATCTCTGAACCAAGAGGCCCAGACCCCAGTCTCACTTGCTCCAAAGTTGTGTAATAATATTAGAAAATATTTTTGAGTAAGTTGGGGTATTTTTGGGATCACTTAATTGGATGGCTTTGGGTTTAATGTGGTTTTTAATTCATATCCTCTATATCAGCTGGACTCAGAAACTCAGTAAAAGCAAAATCAAATTTTTGAATGATACTAAATTACAAAAGCCTGTGAACTCAGAGGCGGCAATCAGAATTTTCAGAATGAGTTAGACAAGATGTGGAAATGAGCAGAATAACAGATGACTGAATTTAATTAAGTAAAATGTACAACAATATGAAAATGATCAATAGCATGCCTACTTTATGAATGGAGTTAAAGATTAAATCTCTTAAGTAAGGCACTTCAATTCCTGATATTCAGTAACACCCCTTTATTTCATTCTGTTCATAGTAGTGGTGCCAAAGTCCTCGGTGTGTCTTCTCTTTTTCTGATATCAGTCATGTGATCAATTACATTATCATGATTGACATGAAACTTATCACAAAAGCCTGCCAGGTCTTCAGCATGTAAATCAAGGTCAATAGTTGGAGCTCCAATAGAATAGCAATTATTGGAGTATTATTATTTAACAAGAACTTACACAATCTGAGAAGGAAGCAAATGTCAGGTATAGACAGCAGAGATCGAGTGAATCCCTAGAAAAATATACTCCTACTGCCTTTATACACAAGAGGGAAATCAGGAGGGCAAAATGGGGACATGAGATGGCTTTGGCAAATAGGGTTGAGAGTGTTGACATAGAATAGTAATTTCATGTTCGTTCTGTAGTACGAAGTTTGTATGCTCACATGTTGGCTGACAATCTGTATTGCAATTAGATAGTCTTTGACCAGTGTTAGTTCAGGATTTCTGGTGCTTCTTTTTACTGTCAACATTGTTATATGTGGTGATTAAAGGCCAGGTCCTTGAACATCAGTACACCCATGAGCACTGGTCCCATGGTAAGCACTTAACAAAATATCTGGGATGATCACAGATTATAATCTGGATGGTGGCACAGCATTCTGTTGGCTAAAACATTCTTTGTTGTTGACAATGCTGAATATCTGGTCACACTATGTGCCTACAGTCTGCTCATCATTGGACCACAGTTTAGCCTGACATCTTTGTCTTGATTGGTCAGATTTGTCTTGGCTGCTCATCACGTCAAATCACTTATTCTGACTTTTGCTTTTTGCATTTGCACTTCCAAATGTAACACGCCTTGCATACAGGTCATGTTTCCCAGATCATTTGCTGAGCTTACCTGCATTGACTATTGTGCCAATGGTTGATGAATTACACAGCCTGCATGGCTTTACCTGTTGATATTTCTTTGTACCTGTAGCCACTTAGATGTAGCCTTTGCATTAGTCTTAACAGTCATTCTGGAATATTTCCACAGGGGTAGACACGAGTTAGTGTTTGCTATAATAATCTAGTTCAGTAGCCAATAAATCATAATCGCGCTCCTATCTCTGCATCTATTTATGAATCAATGATCTCTGTCAGCCACTACCTAAAAGGACATGAATTTGGGATTATAACCAAGACTCAACTTCAAAATATAGATTTTAAAGTGTTAACTATACTTTCTTCTGAATTTTTTACAACGGTTTTTGGATAGACCAGACATGTTCAGTCTGTGGAGGCCTTCATTGTCTATAGAATTTTGGTTTTTAATTTGTTTATCTGGCTTTGAAATATCAAATTCCAGAAAAAAAGCTACACATTATAACAAAATTAATTCAGATAGAAAATCTGTGGCTTTCCAACTGAGTGCTAGAAATTTTGTGGAAATCCCTTTGTTTTTGACCAGACTTTCAATGTTCTCTGGAGATCGAGACCTTACAATTCTATTGACAATTTAGATATCAGCACCTGCTGCAGAGTATTTTCTTCTTAAAAATTCAAAGATGGAGGTACAATTAATCCATTATAGAAATGGTCATGAATATAGCATCTTCCATTTCATCAAGATAAAATATTTCACAACTATGAATTGTTACAAGTTAATTGAATTTTCAGTACAGCAACTTATTTGAGGTGTAATGGTGGTAGCATAAGGAGGGTGGATGAGTTGCGGGAAGAAAGATGTAAACATGGTAAGGTGTTAGATGGGCTCCCAAAGGCCAAATAACATCAAGGCCTCTTGGGCTCGCAGCCAAAACAAAGCATTTTTCTTGTACCAGATGCGTTTTTACATCAATCAACAATAGTTTCACAGTTAATTCCAGATATTTATTAGTTGAATTCAAATGCCACCAGATGTTATGATGGGATTTGAACCCCTGTCCTCAGAGCATTATCTTGGGTGTCTAGATTCCTAGTTCAGTGTCAGTACCAGCATTATTATTCCCTATAAAGTTTTTTGCTGCTGTACAGACCTGAGGTGGCTGTGGCTTTCAGAAATGGAAGCCATACATCAGGAAGTTTCTCAACATGTGCAGAGCTTCCCAAGTTGCACACTCCTGCAGCTTAGAGGGAACATCGATTACTGCTGTGCCATCATCTTCCCTGAAGTTAACACTTTACCAAACATATTTACCAATTTCACTGGCAACAGAACAGGAATTAAGAACACAGTACTTCTATGAACATAGTCTCTGACCCATCTCACAAGGGATGATATATTGCTATTTGATTCAAAAAGTAATTTACAGTTTCTTCAGTAGGAAAGACACCTTGTACCCAGATCTCCATCTCCAGATTGTTGGAGATCATGTACACCGTGACAGCTCTGAAGTCCTGGCACACTGACTATGCAGAAATTGCCTGGGAAGTTCAATCTCCAATGGACAATCACTTGGTGTATGGAACACTCTGCAACGGCTCCTACCTCATTTATATTCCAAGTCGTCAGAGGCTTATGACTTCCCCCGAAAACCTACTCCAATTTCTAGTTATAAAACTATAAAATTAACCCTCAAACACTAGTTACACCCACATCCCTAAACATGTGACAATCTGCCTCTCACCCACTTACTTTCCACCCTACACCCTCATGTCATTCTACCCCACACCCACGTTACCAATCAACCCAGCTGCTCACTTTTTAATTTCTCTCCATTGCTTGTCAAAGAGATTTTAGTAAATTTTATTGACTTGCCGGAATATGGCAGTTATTGCCATAAAACGGGGATGTGGGTGTGAATATTCACACCAGTGGTATCTGTGCGGTTTGCTCCACTAAGTCTGTTGGGAAGGATTCAGCATCAGAATTCAGGCTATAAAAGTCCTAGGAAGGACAGTAAGGCAGATTGTGCCTAATCTTTCGAAAATAGGAAATCAACACAGGTTAGAAGGCTAGGGCCCAAGATTTACTTTCCCTTCATCCTCAAAGCATCTGGTATAGGGGCAGTTTCAGACTTAAAAATTACAATTTTATGTGCAATATAAGTAACACAAAGTTGACTAAAGATGTTCTAGGTATGTTTTAAATAATATGAATACCTCAATTACAGCTATAACATGTCTTCACAAAATCTACCCTAGCTTGAGAAAGGAGCAGAAGGGTAAGTTTGGAGTCATACACTGTAGTTGGAAAGCAAGCACTCAATACACAGACTCAACTGAAAGATGCTGAAGGGTGTGGATAAATAAAAGGCACAGGAGCTCAAATACAGAACAGACTGAAATTACCTGTTCAAGTGCATAAAGTCAGAAAATGCTAACTGCGTTATCGTGTTTATTAAGTGTAGGTTAAGTTTATCTATAATACCAGTTGGGCCACATCTAATAGTGGTGTGTTCTGAGCAGTCCATTACAGAAAGAACATTAAGACTTTACAGAATCACTGTATTGATGATAGTAAGGAGAGAAGCAATAGCTACGCGCAGAGACCCTGTTTGCCCTGTTCATAGCTCCCATAACTATTAACCAGAGACAGGCACAGGAATTCCTAGAAGCCTGGCACTCCACAAAGAAAGCCATTAATAAACACACAGAACTCGACCCCATATACACTCCACTACGAAGGAAAACTGGAAGTGAGGCAATCCAGCTCAACGGACTCGAGTTTAAAAACCAGGCGGGAAAACACACCAACGCTTCACCAGAGGCTGCACTAATGACGTTACCCAGCATGCTAACGAAACGTCTGTGGAACAACAAACCAGCTCGGTGAGCCAATCAACCTCAACACCCACAACCCAAGCTATAAATCTACTCCAAAACCTATTAACCAATAGTTAGGTCAATAGCAAGAAGTTAATTAAATGGGAATTTCATTTGAGAATTATGATAAATAATCTACGTAATCCTGCAATACTGCAGTATCCTAACTAAGGCAGTGATTTTCCTACTCTAGGGAAAAAAAAATCGGCCACATCTTTAGAGGTACCAGCCTTTGCTCAGTTATAGCCGAGTTACTGGGTTGTAGCTCAAATTCTACATTAGAGGTCAAAGTGCACAAGTTACTATCATCGTAGTACTGGAATAAAGATGCACTGTCAGAGATACTGTCTTTTGAATGAGGTGTTAAAAGAAGATCTTGTTTCTGTTCTCACCAGAATGCAAGATGATCTCACACCTGCAATTGGTGAGGACAAAGAAAGTTCACCCTGACTTGGTCAATGTTTATCCTTAAAATATCAAACAAAGACAGACTGGGCTGTTTATTTCACGGTTGTTTGTGATATGTTATTGTATACAAATTGATAGTTGCATTTCCCATATTACAGTGACATGTCAAAATATTTAATTGGCTTTGCCGTGTACTGAAATAGTGAAAGCCGCTGTGTAAACGCAAGCTCTTTATTGGGAAGGCAAACACACGGAAATGAGACAGGGACATATTTCTTTAATTTTTTTTATTTTAAGAAGGTTTAATCTCAATAGGAATTCGCCACATTCAAACCATTTATGATTCAACAAATCTGCCATACAGATTATGTATAGAATTTTTAGTATGTCATATTGTAGCAATCAGATTCTAGAAACTTTATCTTAAAATCTTTGCACACAGAAACAAATCTTAACTTAATCCTTGGTAACGAACAAAAGCTTTTGCAAATATGCTTTAAGTGGAAGTCTCAAAAGTTCAGCAGAAATAAGGTTGTATGTGTAAGTGTGCATAACATTCCTGTAAATTAAATGTCCAGATTGATCTGGACGATATAAATTGCAAGTATATATTGTATCTCACTTGAATTAGGCTAACAGGGAGCAAGTTATTATCTAGAAATTAATTTATTTACTCAACTTCTATTAATTGCAAGATTAAATGTTATTTTCATAATAAGAGCATATTAACTGCTGGCCAGACTTAGCAGTTCTTGACATCCATGCTCTGATGTTTCAGAGTGTAGATTAAAGGTTAAATCTTCATGCATAGTGAACCCAAGTAAAAGCACCAGATGAGACAAAAAAATGTTTTAATGTTACCATTATTATGAGCAAATGAAACTGCTTAACATCAGGAAGGTTTTCTTCAGTTAGTCAATCATATCTGCTCCCTCACCCCCTGTGGCATCAACAGAAATATGAAGATCATCCAACATCTCTGCTAAACTGATCCGAGGAGCCCCATCATCATCAGTATCACTTTCAACTGGAATTTTTGACGAATCTATGAACAAAATTTGTTGAAATAGAAAGACATCAAATTTACATCATTTACATTTACACCATATTGTTAACTAAAACATTGTTATCATAACATAATTCTAGAGGCTTACAACACATAAAAGTCAATTTTTTTGATGTATGCACTAGCTATTTGCACTAGAAGACTCAAGTTTCCACAAGTTTGTGCAAAATTCACAAGCAAATGATAGCATTCTACATTGTTTATCAGGACTTAGCCGTAGATGGCAATCAGCATTGTTTTCCATACCTTCCAGAAAACTGGACAGACTTCAATATGTTATTTATCCACAACATTGAGGTACAACAAAAAAAAAATCTGCCATACAGATTTGGGATGGATCAACAAAATGAAAACAAATTTCACTGATATATTCTTCTTCTTTATCATATTAATATCAATATTCTTTTAGGTCATTTTTGTACATGAATCTCACTGCAAAACTTACCACGATAAATATTGACATTCTTCCTAATGATATCATCATCTTCAAGGTCTTCAAGGAATTCCAAGTATTGCCTACAATGTACAGAAATTTGTTATTTCATGTACATGGATGGATTTAATAATGTAGCAATTATGATTCTAAATGAGCAGTATTGAGGTATGAGCTTGCTCCACCATGGCAATTTCCAAAACCAATTCAATAACCTGTTGATTCTTGGTCAGCATGAGAAAAAGTGACCATGAAAGCTGCCGCATTTCTGTTAAAAAAAACACTGAACTGGCTCCTTCCATTACATTAGCACCAAACTGTACAGCTGATTCTCAGAAAGGCGGCTGTTCAGCTCCTTCAGAGTTCTTCCATGCAAATAATCATGGTTTATTTGTAACTTTTCTGTTCATTCTTTGATGCATTGTGGGATACATTTGTTGCCCCTCCCCAACAGCCCTTCAATTGAGTGGCCAGAGGCCATTCCGGAGGGTAACTAAATTAGTGAGCTAAAAGTTACTTTTTACAACATTTGATGATAGGTTCACAGTCACTATTATGGAGAGTAACTTTACATTTCTAGATTACATAACTGAATTTAAATTCCACCAGCTGCCCTGATGGTATTTAAAGCCACATTCCCCACAACTTTGGCTTGGGCCTCCAAAATTACTAGTCTGGCGACATTACCGCTATGCCACCATTTCTCCACCACAATTTAGTCTGCTCACCTTTCCTGCATATAATTTGATATTCACATTTAATAATCCATTTCTCAAATTTCAGAAATGTAAAAATACAGGATTGCTTCATATTGCTTCACAATTTTAAAAGTAAATCTAGCTGAATTTTCACGTTCTGGCTTTCTCCATACCTACACCTTTAAATCTCTTTCATTTTAATGCCCCCGCAAATCATCCTTCAAACAGCTAAACTCAGAAGAAAGCAAGTTAAACCTATGCAATCTGTAATTTAGTAAACATTATCACATATGATGCATCAGCACTGCAACCTCACCAAGAACAATGTAAGTATCTGAACATCATACTCAGCTAAAGAAACTAATGCCTTCAGATAAAAGCCAACATTGCATGAACCTGTCTGATTACTTTCTGCACCTATGAACTAGTAGACAACAATCTTAGTCTCCCACTAAGAAAATTTCTGAAAAGATATTTTAATAAAAACACTTATTAAAAATAAATTCATTCAGTTCCTCCTCTTGACCTATTTTATTTTATAATGCAGGAATGTTGTAATTTTCTTCCACTGTGATCATAGATACTTGATGATTTAACAAGTTTACCATGGAGCGTAATGACCTCTGCAAAACAAAAGCTGGTAAGCTATTCTTTTCTACTATTATAATACACAGGAATGGAATTTGAAGACAGCAACAAATTAACTGCACTTTTTGCTGAATTTGAAGAAAATTCCCCAAAAGATCTAATGACTTGATACGTTGATTTCCCTTTTCCCAATGCTGGTTTGAATTTGGCACCAAAGCAAAAGGATCACAAAAAATCCAGCAGCTGTGACGTCATCAAGGTAAGCAATCAATCACATAAGCGTTTCAGGGAGAGCAACAGAAGCGGCGAAAAGCACAAGCTTTTCAGTTTAATGTTGTAGACAGCAAAATAAATGGCTAGTGTGTACAGATGGGATTAAGATAGAAGTTAAAATGTCAAATAAACTTAAAAATAATTTAAATGTTGGATTGATCATAATGAAAAATTTTGACTTTCAACAAATGTACATCTACTCTTCCAGGGCATTATAAACCTTAGTACCACATTAAAAATCTAGTTAAACTACATGCAACAAAGCCTAACGATGTCAAGATATTTCACAGCAGGACTAAGAGCTTAAAATAACATCAGTTCGGTGATTCTTAAATGCCTGAATTCTGGGAGATCTTAACAATCTGGAGAAGCTTAGAATCACTGTCAGCAACTCCGGGATTCCCATATGTACGAGCACAACATGCCAACAGTTTCACAACAACAACAACAACAAATCTAGTTTTGGTATCATTACAACTGTAAACTTCGAACCTTTATGAATGCAAACTACTATACTGACCAATTTCTCACTTCATCCAGCTAAAATCATTTTTAAAAATTGACCTCAACAAATAGCCAGATATATGGCAATACAGCTCAAGGTTAGCACTGTATGCCACTTCTGTAAAGGAACTCTGCATGCATGCATCAAATTATCTTTTAAAATTGAAAGTCTTTCAAAAAGTAACGGGGTCATCGTAAGGAAAATTATGTGGTAAATTTTACTGGTACAACTCCTGGGTTACCAAAAGAGACAGCAAGAATGATCTGGTTTTGCAGATACAGTAAGAGCATGGTCAGAGCATAATAAAAAACAACTTTGCACATATCTATAATCTACTGGGCAACATTTTCCAAAAAGTGTTTGGGTTGGCATTTTTAAATTTGATACTGCAGTTTTTAAGAAAACATTTTTATTTGTTTTTAAGTTAGCTTCAAAGTAATAACCCCATAAATATGTTGCGATCGGAGGGAAAAAATAAGACTATACTTTTCATAAACATATACAGAAATTGATAGAAAAGCTCAGCACATCTGGCAGCATCTGTGGAGAGAAATCAGAGTTAACATTTCGGGTCGAGTGACCATTCCTCATAACCATACCTTTCATCATCTGTTCCCATGTCCTCATGGTCCTTGTCCAATTCTTTAAGCTTCCAGTTCCTGCGATGTTGCCTCCTACCCCGATCATAGCTCTTTTTAATCAATACCTAGAGGAAAATGGATTATCGATTAACAGACATTAACTATTCAGTTACTTATACACATTCACATCGATCGATGTAACAAAATAGAACATTTCAGCTGCTGAGCCTGTCCCACCATTCAATACAACCATAGCTGAATGAATGCTTTTTTAAAAAAAATATTCATTCATTTATATTCATTCATTCAATAAATGGGCCAACATTCATTGCCCATCCCAGGGGACAGTTAAGAGTCAACCACATTGCTGAGAGTCTACAGTCACATGTAGACCAGACCAGGTAAGGATGGCAGTTTCCTTCCCTAGAAGGGATTAGTGAGCCAGCTGCGTTTTTCCAACAATTGGCAACGGATTAATGGTAATCATTGGACCCTTGATTCCAGATTTTTACTGAATTTAAATTCCACCATCTGCCGTGGCAGGATTCAAACTTGGGTCCCGACGGTGGCTCAGTGGTTAGCACTGCTGCCTCACAGCAGCAGGGACCCGGGTTCAATTCTACCCTTGGGCGACTGTCTGTGTGGAGTTTGCACATTCTCCCGGTGTCTGTGTGGGTTTCCTCCCACAGTCCAAAGATGTGCAAGCTAGGTGGATTGGTCATGCTAAATTGTCCATAGTCTACAGGGATATATAGATTAGGTGGCTTATAGGGATGGGTCTGGGTGGGATGCTCTGAGGGTCGGTGTGGACTTGTTGGGCCGAAGGGCCTGTTTCCACACTGTAGGGATTCTATGATGATGAAATCTATGACGAGAATATTACCCGAATCTCTGGATTAATAGTTGGGTGATAATACCACTAGGTCATCGCCTCCCCTAAACATATGGCAATACAGCTCAAGGTTTTACTCCCACCATCTCTATAACCCTATAGGCCACTGGTAATCAGAAATCTACTAATCAATCTCTACCTTAAACATACTCATTCAATAACGGAGCTTCCATAGCCCTTTGTGTCGCAAAGAATTCTTTATAAAAATTCTAGTATCTTTCCCCATTAACTGATGTAAGGCTAACAGATCTGCAGTTCCCAGTTTTCTCTCTTGCACCCTTCTTAAAAGTTAGAGTGACATTTGCTACCTTCCAAGCAGCAGGAATCATTCCTAAATTTATAGATTTTTGGAAGATAATCACCAACACATCAACTATCTCTATAGCCACCTCCTTCAACATTCTGGGATGTAGATGAAAAATAAAAATATTTACTTCACTTGAAAACCTGGATTTAAAGTCATTTAAATTAAACAAAGCACTGTGGATCCTGAAGATCCAGAGACTGAAATGTTAACTCTGCTGTCGCTCCACAGATGCTGCCAGTCCTGCTGAGTTTCTCCAGCAATTTCTGTTTTTGTTTAAAGTCATTACATCATTGTTCACATAATCCCTATAGTGTGGAAACAGGCGCTTCGGCCCAACAAGTCCACACCAAACCTCAGAGCATCCCCCACAGAGCCATCCCCCTGTAACCTACACTGAACACTACGGGCAATTTAGCATGGCCAATCCACCTAGCCTGCACATCTTTGGACTGTGGGAGGAAACCCACACAGACACGGGGAGAATGTGCAAACTCCACACAGACAGTCATCCAAAAGGTAGAATCGAACCCGGGTCCCTGCTGCTGTGAGGCAGCAGTGCGAACCACTGAGCCACCAGGTCTGGGTGGGTGGGATGCTCTGAGGATCAGTGTGGACTTGTTGGGCCAAAGGGCCTGTTTCCACACTGTAAGGATTCTATGATTCATGATCAATGACCAGAATGATAGGTTGGACAATGTAGGGAATATAAAGTAGACCAGATTATTGGTCCAGTCCCACATTGCTTCACTCCAGTACAAGAATATTGGTACAATATGCTTAACCTTCCTGCATGAAAAAAAATGTAAAACAACACATTTTCCAACATTAAGAACAAGAAAATGCTTACATTGAACTAGTGATATAATTTTTTGAAAGAAGAATAAATTTGGTACACAATTATTTGGAAACTGAATGGGTAAACCTTTAATTTTATTGAAAATGTAGAGATCCTCCTGCAATTCTTGAAGAGAAAGCAGAGCCAATGTTTCTGGTCCAGTGACTCTTCTTCAGAAGAATTCTGGAGAAGGGTCACTGTGCCCAAAATGTTAACTCCGCTTTCTCTCCACAGATGCTGCCAGACTTGAATTTTTCCAGAACCAAAATCAGAAATTGCTGATTTCCAGCGCCTGCAGTTCTTTGTTCTTTTTTCCCCTCAGCAACAAGGCATTTGTGCCAACCAACTCTCATGGGTGTTTACTATTCACACAAATAGCAGGACCAGTGCCATTCACTGTTTTTATAATTCTTCTTTTCTTGGAGAACACACATGGATCTCAAAACGACTAATCTACCCAACCTTCAAGCATAGCATACCCTGTATTTGGTACGATCTGTCCGTCACCATTCCTTCACTGTCACTGGATAATATCCGAGAATTCCCTTACCAAAGTGTAGCACAAGGACAAATGCAATTCATGAAGGCTCATTATTATCTCTCAGAACAACTAGGGCTGAAAATGCAGCTTTGCCATGTTCAAAAACGAAATAAGATTCAAATATTAAGTGAAATGATTTCTTCACATTTTAAAATGAGCATTACGGCAAAAATCAAATTAGTTAAAGCTTTTGGATCAATCTGTTTCACAGAGAGTTTTTGGCATATTGCTCACTATTATTAGTATGATGTTTAAATGATTGAAAAGAATACACATCCCACTGAATAATTCCCATCACAACGTCCAGCTTAAGAATACATTCGCTTCCTTTTTCAAAACACTAAATTCCATCTTCAGGAACAAGATGGTTACCAAAGTATTAATATTCTTTTAAAATATTGCATGAGGATGGATCTTACCACATCAGGAACACGTTGAGGATTCATTTTGTTCACACACTCATCATTTAGGTTTGAATTAACCAAATCAAATCTAGAAGTTAAAAATAATATTATTTATTTATATGTTTCAGTACACATACATAAACAACTCAATCACCACTTAATTCACCAAACATAATGGCTTCCATGCAACCATAGATCTATTTTCAATACTTCCAGAGCTGCCTTGGCCATTTAATATTTTTCAGCCATGTGTTAATTTGTTATCCCCCATGAACATTGTTATGACTGGGGTTTGAGCGGTGCACTGATTCCTTTCTACCCCCAATCCTCCACTGGGCAATAAATTTTAAATTTAACCTAACTTGGTGATATGAGCAATCAAGGTTCTTGACTGCATCTCATTTAGCATTAGAAACAATTCAGCCATGTTGCTTTCACAAAGAATTAGCAGTTAATTACAGGCAAAACTTAAATAAACATCCACAGGCATCCACAGAACATTAATTGAATTTTGGGATCCCGGTAGTTTGCCTCGCAAGACCTAAATCTAGAATGCGACAGTAACAAGGTTTTTGGGTGATTTAGGATGCACCAAAAATCATTTTCCTAATCAACCTGTTTAGAGATGCTATTACACACCTCTGGAGCAGGTGGAACCTAAACCCGGGACTTCCGGTCCAGGGGTAGGGACACTACCTCTGTGCAACAAGAGGGCCCCTGATGCGCTAAAAATCAAGTTCAAGACAGTTAAATACACCAGAAAACAAGTAGATTTGGAATTTGTGACTGCTGAGGGCTGTGGATGCTATTGATACAAGTGTCATTGAACAGAAACCTGCAGTTTCTTCTAACGTAAGGTAATTAAGGAGTATAGGAATCACGTAAAAAGGTGAAATTAAGATTAGTGTTAGCCACATTATTATGGACTGGTGGAGCAAGCTTAAATGGATCACATGGTCCACTCCGGCTTCTTTTTTGTTAATGATTTTACGAAAAGAAAATCGCAGGCAGATTTGAGTGGCATTCACAAGACCACCACTTAGTGGCTGTTGGACACCAATTACAGTGCAAAAGGCAACTACTGCATAGGACATTTGATAAAGTACTAGCAGCTTTCCTATTCTAAGTAATAACGATGGAGAAAACTGAAACATGAGGGAAGACTTGATGAAAAACGCATTTGCATAATGTTTAATATTACATATTAAAAATGTTTAGAAGATGCTTTGCACCTCATGAATCCAGAAAACTTACACACTGATTCAAATTAACAGATGTCAAATGAATAGCTTGTGAAAGAAAACAAGCATTCACATATTTTAGCTTATGCACTTTAAAACATGCTTCATATTTCATAGCAACAAAGAGAATTCACATCTTAACTCTCACTGCTTTATAGGTATTAAATTAACATTTTTTTTTAAATATAGGAAATTACTGACCCCAACACCAGATCCCCGTAATTAAGCAAATGCCCCAAATGAGTACGGCAATGGTACTGTCGGTTAGTGTCCATCTCAGATGTTTTCTGTACCCAGACCTCAGCCAATGTGTGCTAGAATGAAATTTTTTTTAAAAAAGTTAAGCAAAATCACAGCATGGCAATTTTTAAAAATTACTTTTGTTCAAGAAGCTCTTTCCCCCAGAAGATCATTTTAACTACAGGAAACAATAAAAAAGGTACTGCAATGCACTACATCTTTATGTATTTCACAGAAATCACAACCACAGAATTGTTATGATGCAGAAGGAAGCCACTCAGTCTAATGTGTTTACACAACCCTCCACTGGCACTAAATCATAATGCTCATTTATAACGTATTTTCTGCATACTTTTGCATATTGAATGATTATATGGAGATGATGCCCTCCTAAAATGCCCTCAATTTAGTCCGCCTTTGACATCTTTATTTCACATCCAAAAATGAACTGCGTGAAAGTGTTTTGCTCAGATGTTTCCAAATCACTTCAAATCTTTGCCCCCTCCTCTTCAATCTTTTTATGAGCATGAACAGTATTCCCCTACCTACTCTACCCAGACCTCTCAAGTCTGGAAACTGTCAGATTGTTCCTTAGGCTTCTTCTCTCCAAGAATAATCTCAACCTCTTCTATCTATCCGCATGACTGGACTCTCTCATCCATGGAACTACTTTTGTAAATCTTTTCTGCACATTCTATTTACTTATTTTTATGTTTGCAGTATCACATTTTATGATTACAAAAAAAAATTTCTGCAGCTACACTAGTTAAAAACAAGAAAAGATACAAAGGTTTGCTAATGGCATACAAAGCAATTGAACCCATTTATTATACTTATTGACATATACAATTAGGCTCATGTGTTGCATTAAAAATCTGGAACATTCTTTATACTACAGACAGGAAAGTAAACTTCTCAAATAAAAGCAAAATACTGCAGATGTTGGAGATCAAAAATAAAAACAAAGTGATGGAGAAATTCAGTGGCCTCTATGGAGACAGTAACAAATTTAATGCTTCGAGTCCAAATTGGCTTTTTTTTAAAAACCATTCCCGATTCCACAATGTTAACCCCCAGTTGCACTGATGCACTGAATTTAAGGCAGACTTGTAATATACAGACATTTACTTGGATGCTATGAAACTGTTAAAAATAGCAAAGTATGATTTATAGAATGCTGCGCACATAATACAGGAAATTCTCTATCCGCGAAATCATGAACTGCAAATTCGCCTACCTGTGCCAAATAACAAAAAACAACATTCACAGACAAAAATTGCATATCTGCAAATTTAAACCCGTTTTTAAATGAGGCCCGCAATAGCAAATTTCATCATTCACGGGGTTTCTCAGGAACAGACCCCTCGTGGATACGGAGGAACTACTGCACAGTTTTGTTCAATAGCAGACTTTCTCCACGTAATTCCTGCTTACTTTCATAATCAGTTTGGTGGTTGCGGGAGGTCTCTCTGCAATATGAGAAAACTGCCCGATACACGTAAAAGAGAGCAGAACACAACAAAGGATTTTTAAAAGTCCTTTTGTTTCTCGAATTGCTTGCTGACACCAGTGATCTGCCAATAATTACTGTGTATAAGCACCTCAACTAGCTTGCTTGACACTTTTTTGAAAACACATACCAATCTATACTTTCAGTCAAATCTTCTCATTTTTGTGTATTTGTTAGCTTTTAATTGCTTTTGTTAAAAAATCTGTGACATTAATCGCTTCTACCACACATGGTCTTGAATCTCAGCAGATGCAGCCTGTTTTTTAAAGAAATCAATAATACTGACAATACAATGGAAAACTCCACTTTTGCAAATGTTCCATGCTGCAAAAGGATTTTGCTTTCTTAGCTGCCTAGCGGAAAGAAAAATCACACTTTTTCAAAGGTGATCTGTTTACTTACTCTGGTAGATATTGTGCCCGTACCAGGAACACGATTGCAGTCTCCAACGATGTCAATATCCATTACAATAAACTCCTCCAGCTGTCCGGGCTGACAGAGGCTGTAAAAGGGGTAGCGCCAATAAGTAGACCCATCAATTTCAGCAACTGCAAATAATAAACGTAAATTTCAAATCTTAGTTATTATGTATTCTAACATCAGATGAATTATGCCATGTGGTCTGCCTGAAGGCTAGTCCTTGTCTCAATGTTTGACAATGCTTCATATGGAATTGTTTTCTTGTCAGCTTTTGTCAAGAATAGTTTGCCATTGTCTGCCACTCTTAAGGCAAGGCTACGAGGCAGGTCCCAAGTCTACAATCAGCCAGAAGAAAAATCAAACTCATACTATTGATGTTATTCCGAACCACAAGATACCCATCTAGTCAACTGAGCTAACCAGCATCCCAAAGAAAGTACAGCTAAATGAAATACAAAATAACATAAAACAAAACAAAACAAACACTTTGAAATTATAAGCCACACAGTTGATTCGGAGCCAAGGAAATTATTAATATAAAGGATTCAGATGACAAATCAAAAGAGAATGATGCTCATTTTGAGTGCCAGTCAGTTGTGGTGTCAGAGTCAATACACCTCCTGTCTTTCATGTACATCTTCCAGCAAATTGTATTGGAAACTGAGACAGATTTTTAGCTTACCCTAGATCAGCGACATTAGGAGCAACTGTAATGATCATGCTGCTTGTGATCACAAACTCAGCACAAATCACTGAATAAATGCATTGAGTTGAAAAGCTAGGAAAGTCCCAAAGCCACCTCATTAAGCACTAATTGCATATTTACTAAGAAACAACTATGATTTGCACCTTATTGTGAGCAGTGTTTCAATTACAAGCCACTTTTCAATACTTGGTCCCCCCTTCAATGCAATTGCAATGTTATGCTACTCCAGTTTAAATTACTGTAAACCAAACTACATTCCCTTCACAGCAAATCCAATCCAACGTACATGGGCATTCAGGATGAACCTTTAGTTTGAGAGATTGTCAGAATGCTTTCATTGCATACAACATTCAATGTTTCTTTTAAAAACAGGTTAATGGGTTCCACCAATGAATCATCAATGCTACACCTTGGTTCAATTCTGCAATAATTGCCATTCTAAGGCAAGAACCCTGATATTTATAAAATCTCTACTATTTTTTAAAATTGGCCTTGTTCTGATCAGACTCCGGATAAGGTGAAAAATAATTGTTAACTGTCAGTGTGTATCTGTAGCACTAGTACATCTGTGTGTACAACTTCACATGATCGACTTTAAATTGGTCACATTGACATTAAGTGTAAAGCTTTGGCAATGATGACCTGATGGTAGGCTCACAGCTCTACAAAGTCAATTATCTCTATCAGTTTCATCAGGATAGGGCCAAATAAAAAGCCATCTCCCCATCAGGTTAATTTTACCAATACAAGAGGAAAATCCATAAATTACAACCTTCACTTCTTCTCAAAATACACCCACTCCACACGACGTGCAAAGTGCTAGGTCAGCCTCGGGTACATAACATACAATTTCTACTTTCTTAAAAGGTGCATATCATTCAGCCATTCTCTCATGGTCTCAAATCCTCCATTGTAGCCACGGCACGGAGTGTCTTACAGATGCTTAGAAGCATAACCTGCCAATTCTATCAGCATTTGCATGTAGATTTGCTAAAGCAATCTTCTGTTCTACATTTTTAAATTCAAACTGCACTTCCACAAATGGCCACTGGCTGCCAATGAATGAAAAATATCTTGCTTCGGGGATTTGCAAGTATGTAGCGTCTCTACAGATATACAAAATATCTGTAACGTACCCTGAAAGCTTTAACTTGAAGGTCACGTTCATTTTTAAGTGGTTGCCTCCCACTGCCGAGAATTTAGTTTCCAGCCAGAGCCTTCTGTTAAGATGAATCTTTGAGGGTCTCTTTTGCCAGTGCAAGATCTTTCCTCCCCCACAACCAGCATTGTCTCAATGAGTTCAATGATAGGTTAACAACGTCAAGGATATTTTTGTGATAATTATTATAAGGGCACCAACATTCCTTTCCAAAACTTCCATACATATTGCAGTTACCCAGACCATACTCTGCTCTAACATTAATAAAAAAGGTGGATATGGGAACTCTATCTGATTCCAAGCCACATTAAATCTCATCATCTAGGAGAGAGATTATATTACCATCACCTCATTAACTAGCAAGATAAGACGACTGCACTGGATTAGGGCTGACAACTTCACCGCAAGCCCACTGTCAACTGCTAAGTAGATTCACTAGCTTTTTCTGACGTACCTTTTTTCCAGTCTTCTCAAACCTTTTTTTCATATGTTCCCACTCCTCCCATTCCACCTTCTCCCTTTTTCATGAGATATAATTATCCCTCTCTCACTAATCTGCACATTTTATTAGGTCTCAATTCTCCATCTGCAATGCTATAGGGGATCAACTAACTTACAATGCTACAATTTTATTGAATTATAGCTACCAATTATATTTAAAACAGGCCATTTTGAACGGCCTTATTCTCTTAAATTATTCTTCCTAGTTTCCAGGTTATATCTCTGTATACTAAACCACTCATCCAATTCCAAATTGAGTTTAGCAAGCCACCATACCAGCCAAAAGGTATTCCCACTGACTAATTTACTACAGTACTAAGATGAGAAAACAGACACCATCAGTAAACTCTTCAGTTTAATCACTGTAGAATATAAATTTATGTAAACAAAATTATTTGCTAATTTGCTGCACAAATCTGAAGCAGAAGTACTGTAGAAACTTACTCTGCAAGCTGTTAGGATCAATGAGGTGTATTGTACTAGTCACCCGAACACACACGCAAATCTGGCTTATGTTTCCAAGGCTGTGTGCTAATCGTAACGGCAAGCATACTAAATTGTCCTGTAAAAAAAGAGAAATTAAAATTAAACCTGCTTGGAATATCTTTGTTCCGAAATATTTAGTGCATCATTTCATTTTTCTTCATTATTCACCATAATCAAAACAGAGTTACTAAATATATCTTATGTTATGACCACAAATGCAATTATTTTTCCAATATGCAGGATTATTTTTATATGAGCTCTGGTTAATCTTTCCTTTAAAAATTTCTGTTTTATAATTTACTGCTAGTCTTATTGATCAGTATGCATTGGCAAATGTCCATACGAAATGATTTCAAAATGCAACCTAAAAAGTGCATGTTCACAACGAATGATTGCTAGACATCAACTATGTAACAATGAACATGTATTCCCCAGATAGTTAGCACATCCAGTAAAAGGACAAACACCTTAGTCATGGGCAACCTACTATTCCACTAATACACTATACTAAATATCTTAATTTTATGAACAGTTGTAACATAATACAGTAATATCATTCATTGATGTTTTCATTCATTTTTGGGATGTGGGCTGGGAGTTCCAGGATTTGACTTAGGGATAATGAAGGGACAGCAATCAATTTCTGAATCAGGATAGTGTGGGGCTTCATAGAATCCCTACAGTGTGGAAGCAGGCCAGTTAGCCCATCAAATCCACACTGCTCCTCTGAAGAGCAGCCCCAGCCGCCTACCCTTTTCCCTATAATCCTGCATTTCCCATGGCTAACCCAACTATCCACAGAAAATATGGGCAATTTACAGAGTTACAATCATGCAGCACAGAAACAGACCCTTCAGTCCAACAAGTCCATGCCAACCAAAATCCAAAACTAAACTAGTCCCACCTGCCTGCACTTGGCCTATATCCATCCAAACATTTCTTTTTCACATGCTTAACCAAATGTCTTTTGGATCTTATACTGTACCTTCTTCTTGAAGTTCATTCCATACACAAGCCACTGTGTTTAAAAAAAAAAAAAATGCCCCTCATGTCTGTTTAATAATCATTCTCTTCTCACCTTAAAAATATGTCCCCTAGCCTTGAAATCCCCATCCTAGGGCAATGACACCTGCCATTCACCTTATCTATATCCCTCATGATTTTCTATAACTCTATAAAGGTCACCGCTCAACCGCCTATGCTCCAGTGAAAAAAGCCTGAGCCTACCCAACATCTCTTTATAACTCAAACCCTCCATTCTCAGTAAGATCCTTGTAAGTCTTTTCTGGACCCTCTCCAGCTTAATAATATCCTTCCTATAATAGGGTGACCAGAACTGGACACAGCACTCCAGAAGAGGCCTCACGGACACAGGGAGAATGTGCAAACTCCACACAGATAGTTGCCCAAGGCTGGAATCGAACCCAGGTCCCTGGCACTGCAAGTGGTAGTATTCCCACATACCTTCTGCCCTTTCCCTTCTTGTGGGTTGTAGGTTGAGAAGGAACTAAGGAAGCTTGGTGAATCCCTGCAGTGTATCTTGTAGATGGTGTAATCTGCTGCTAAAAAGCATCAATGATGAAGGGACTGAATATTTGTGGAAGTGGTGCCAATTAGGAGGGCTAGTTTGTTCTAAATGATGTCAAGTTTCTTGAATTTTCCTTGAGCTGCACTCATTCAGGCAAGCGGAGAATATTCCATCACACCTCTGACATGTATCTTGTAGATATTGGACAGCCTCTGAGATGTTCTTGTAGCCGCTGTAGCTAGTCCAGATTGTTTTTGAAAATATGAAACCGGAGGATGTTGATAGCAGGAAATTCAGTGACAGTGATGCAAATAAAGTCATGGGATGATCGTCGGTTTCAGTCTTATTGGGAATGGTCACTGTCTGGCACTTGTGCGGCATGCATGTTACTTGCCTAGATAATATGCAGATATTACTGCTTCAGTATCTGAGCTGCTGAAAACGGTACTGAATACTGTGCAATCATCAGCAAACATCTCCACTTCTGACCTTATGACAGAGAGTTATTGATGAAGCAGCTGAAAATCGTTGGGTATGGGACCTTACCCTGACGAACTCTTGCAGTGATCTCCAGGAGCTCAGATGACCAAACTCGAACAACCACAACCAACTTCCTTGACTCCAACACACAGAGTTTTCCCCTTGATTCCAACTGACTGCAGTTCTCCTTGGGCACCTTGATGCCATGCTCCATCAAATGTTGCCTTGGTGACAAGGGCAGTCACTCTCACCTCACCTCCGTACGTTCAGCTCTTCCCCTCATGCTTGAGCCAGGACTGTACTGAGCTCAGGAGCTGAGTGGCCTTGGCACAACTCAAACCAAGCATCACTGAACATTTTATTGCTGAGCAAATGCTGCTGGATAGTACTGTTGATGACCCCTTCTATTAACTACTGACCATAAAGAGTAGACAGATTTGTCTTGCTTTGTATGTACAGGACACACCTGGACAATGGACCACATTATTGGGTAGATATCAATGCTGAAACTGTATTGGAACAGCCTGGTAGGAGTACGGCAAGTTCTTTGCAGTATCCAGTGCCCCAGCCATTGCTTGGTATCACATGGAGTGAATCAATTTGGCTAAAGGCTTGCCTTTGACGCTTGAAGTGGTCAAGATGGATTATCCACTCAGCACTTCCAGATGAAGATTGTAACAGTTGCTTCAACCTGGTCGTTTGCACTCAAGCACTGGGCTCCCCCATCGTATAGGATGGGGCATTTGTGCAACTTCCTTCTCCAGTGAGTTGAGATGTGGCAGGACTGCAGAGCTTAGATTGATCCATTAGCTGTGGGATTGCTTAGCTCTATCACTTGCTGCTTATGTTGTTTGGCATGCAAGGAGTCCGCTGATGTAGTTTCGCCAGTTTGACCCCTAATTTTTAGCTATGCCTGCTGCTGCTCCTGGCATGCCCATCCACATTCTTCATTGAGCCAGAGTTGATTTCCTGGCACGATGGCAATAAAACTAGAGTGGGGGATGCCAACTCATAAGGTAACAGATTGTGTTCTGCGTACAATTCAGCTGCTGATGGCCCTAAGGGACTGTTACTAGATCTGTTTGAAATCTATCCCATTTATCACAGCAGTAGTACTCCACATACAATGGAGGACAATATTTGCTTTAAGCTGCACAGCTGTGCGTGCAGCTCCTCCAAGGTTCCTCAGTGGTTCTTGCAGCTACTAAGAAAATTAGGGGAACACTAGAGGGCATCCTTAATGAGAAGATGACTTCATCCCAACAAAGGTCTGCATGGTGGTCACTCCAAAATGATACTGTAATGGGCTGATGCATCTATGCAGGCAGATTGGTGAGGATAAGGTCAATTACGTTTTTCCCTACTGTTGGTTCCTTCACCACCTCCTGCAGACTTAGCCTAGCAGATATGCCCTTTAAGGTTCAACCAGCTAGGGTGCAAAGCTACTCCCAGTGATGGACATTGAAGTTCCCAGTACAACGGTGGCACAGTGGTTTGCACTGCTGCCTCACAGTGCTAGGGACCCGGGTTCAATTCTACCCTCGGGCGACTGTTTGTGTGGATTTGGATTTGCATATTCTCCCCGTGTCTGCATCGGTTTCCTCCCACAGTCCAAAGATGTGCAGACTAGGTGGATTGGTCATGCTAAATCGCCCATAGTGTTCAGGGATGTTTAAGCTAGGTGGGTTTGGGTGGGGGGGGAAAGAGAGAGGAGGAATGGGTCTGGGTGGGGCACTGAGGGTCGGTGTGGACTTGTTGGGCCAAAGGGCCTGTTTCCACACTGTAGGGATTCTATGATCCTGTGCCTTTACCAATAATGGTGCTTCATGAGCTGCAGAGTGGGGTGGGGGTACAACTATAAAAGGTACAATTACATGAGTAAGACTGTGTCAGTCTGTTGCTTAAGTAGCCTGTGAGACAACTTCCCAATTTTGGCACTAACCCCCACGGTCAAAAAGATCAGAGTTTGCCATCGTCACTTCTAGCGCCTAGGGCAATGCCAGGCAGACTTTCCAGCTTACTTCTCTTCTAGAGACTTTTTAGCAGTTCGATGGCCCTTTCAGAAGGCAGTTAAAAGTCAACCACATTGCTATGGGCAGGAACCACATGTAGGCCAATCTGTGTAAGTACAGTAAACCTCCTTCCCTCAAGGATATAATCAGTTGGATGGGTTTTTAACGACAATTATTGCACAGAGTCAAGTCTGGATTTTTTTAATTCTTGATTCATTTTTAATTCGGAATCTACCATTGTGGTGGGATTCAAACCCAGGTCCCCAGAGAATCACCTGGGTCTCTGGATTACTAACCCAGCAACAATACCACAATGTCAACTGCTTCTCCATCAACTAAACCACTATTTTTAACGACATTAAAAAAATGTTGTTTCTGAAGTCAGCATGACTGGTACACAGCTGTGTGAATTCTTTTTCTATGGCAAAACCAAGCTCTGAAGTGTAACAACTGCATTCAATTCTGGTTTCCCTGCTATAGGAAGGATGTTGTGAAACTTGAAAGGATTCAGAACAGATTTACAAGGATGTTGCCAGAGTAGGAGGGTATGAGCTACAGGGAAAAGTTGAATAGGCTGGTATTAATATCTCTGGAGCGTCAGAGGCTGAGGGCTGACCTTACAGAGATTTATAAAATCATGAGGGGTATGGGTAGGGTGAATACTCAAAGCCTTTTCCCCTAGCTGTGGGAGTCCAAAACTAAAAGGCATAAGACTTCAAAGGGACTTAAGGAACAACGTTTTCATGCAGAGGGTGGTGTGTGTATGGAATGAGCTGCCAGAGGTGATGGTGGAGGCTGGTACAATTACATTTAAAAGGCATTTAAATTAATTTAAAATTTTAAAATTTAAAAGGATGAGCATTTGAATGGGAAGGATTTAGAGGGATACGGGCCAAATGCTGGCAAATGGGACTAGATTAATTTAGGATATCTGATCAGCAAGGATGAGTTGGACCAAAGGGTTTATTTCCGGGCTGTACATCTCTATGACCCTATGAAGAGTTAAGTATTTTAGAATGGCAATTTCTCCTAAATTGAAAGACTGCTTGTGTTTTAGCTTTTTTTTGGAAATCACCCAAATGAGCATCCACACAAACATTAAAACAAATCATTAAGAGTATTAAAATTCCTCTCATATCAGCAGCTCAACTTTTGCTTTAAACAATATTGCTCACCTTACAAACAGGAACAATTTCCACAGAGAATGTACTTTTGTAATTGTAACTGTTAGAGTGGACATCATGGGAGATTAGACGTTGAGATGTCTTGTACCTTTGGAACAAACAAACATAAGCTCAATATTTTCCATAAAATGAATTTCGTTATGTACGCTATTAAATCTTAAGAGACACACAGATTAGTCAAAGAATGTGCAGTTTCTAATACAGTATCTGCATAAAAAGGCAACTCTCAAGTGATGTGATGTGAGATACCATGACGTGAGGTGGCATAGAATACTGACGATCTGCCATTATCATGTTGTGATATTTAGGCTGGCTTCCATCGCATTAGGACAAGATTTGGGTGCCATAAGGGATGAGGAATTTGATAAACTTTTATAATGGCATCTTGTATCTCCATGTATACATTACAATCACAGGTACTTGCTTCTTTGGGCTCAAGCTAAGCAATTCAGATGTACTGCAGTACATTTCCTTCAGCACATGAAGCTGCAAGAAAGCACAGCTCAGCAAGGTGGAGACTGTGCACTTTATGTCTTTAGGTCATATTCCATGTGATGACGCTATAACCATGTTCCTTAAAATTCTTGCAAAAATTGTGCGATATACATAAGACAACATCCTCCTTTTTCCAAAGGAAAGAAATCCAAAATAGATATACATCATTGCACTTGGATAAGTGTTGTCAACTGAAGAATTACACATAAAAGCAGAGTTAACAAGATTGATAATTCAAACGTCAATATAATATCTGAGGCTTGACGACTCATCCTGATCGGGTGATCGTATACCCATAGAAAGGCAAGTGTTATTCTCAGTTGCTCTTGACTGAGCTTTGGTTGTCTTCTCGTCACTGCTGCCTAGCATCATCGTACATTCACAATCATCACAAATTTCTTCTGTGTGCATGATTGGCATGTGTAACATTGGTCTGAGCTGGCTTCTGTTCCTTCATACTGTAGTTCCACAATTGGAAGCGTCTTCGCATGACCTGAGTTGATTCCATCTCTTTACTGGTATCCAGGTAATTGTGACTGAATTTCTGACATGGACTATCTGAATAGTGCATTCTTGTGGTAGTTCTTTCCCTTCTCACTGGTCACGTATCTGCTTCACTCTCCTCTATCTTTGATCTGGAAAAGTCCTGTGTGTTTTTCATTCTCAACATGATGGGTGTGAACCTCAAGTATGGTTTGACGCAGAGGTTTGTGCAATCAGGTAGTCTTACCACTATGGGATCTCTGGTACCTACCAGGTAGAAGATTTAGGGAATCGAAGCTGATATTGCAACAAAAACAGTAATTGCTGGAAAAGCTCAGCTGGTCTGGCAGCATCTGTGGAGAGAAAGCAGAGTTAACGATTTGGGTCAAGTAACCCTACCACAGAACTGATGGCAGCTAGGAAAATGTCAGTTTATATGCAGAGGATTGGTGGGGTAAGGAGTAAACGATAGTAGGAGATAGAGCCCAAAGATAGAAAAGCACAGTTGAACAGACAAAGGAGTAGATAACGATCTGGCTAAAAGGGTGAATAGCTATTAACGGGGACTGTTAGTGGCCAACAATAGGCTGTATGTAATGCCCGGCTATGTGTTAACAAGGCCTGATGCGTGGGATTTGGGATAAGGACATGGGAGAGCTCAAGCCCTGAAGTTATTGAACTCAATATTGAGTGGAGAGAACTACAGGGTCCCCATGTGGAAGATGAGGTGCTGTTCTTACAGCTTGCGCAGAGCTTTGCTCAGCACTGCAGCAAACCTGAGACAGAGATGTTGGCCAGGAAACAGGGTGGTATGTCGAAGTGTCAGGCAACCAGAACCTGATTTTACATATTGGTATCGCAATATGATTGTGCCACAGCATGAAACTGATGATCCATCATTGCTGTGAAAGCATCATTTTTGGGAAATCCGTCTTTTAAGATACATAGTGGTAACATGTTGGCACTAGTACTTGGGAGAGAGGGCGCAATCATGTGAGAGAATTCAACTTTTTCCCCAATTTAAGAATGGTTTCTCTGTAGTCAAAACTCACTGAAATTGAAGACAACCAATTTTATCTTTCCTGTAACTGCTGTTGCAAGCTGTGACTTTTAACCGAGTCAGAGACGTTTTTGAAGTGAACTGGTCACCTTTTGTCTCTTACAAACCATTTGAAGCATCTGGAAAAAGATGACAGATGCGAAGCACTGGGCAGCAGAAGAATCGTAAACATCATCTCAACAACAGAGACTGGAAACAAAAATTACTGAATTGCCTTTCCTATTAATATGACAATGTAAAAGGCATCTTCTGAAGATGTTGATCTTTGTTGGCTGCTCACTTTGTTGATATGTTTGTGTCCTTTTGATCACTTTCCATGCTGCCAGCATTGTGGTGTCGTGTTAACTTGTTGGTCATCTGGCTAGGTTTTGCAAACAGACTTTCTACACATGCCCGGTGTCTTTTTGTGCCACATTTTTTTTGCAGGCAAGAGAAAATTCCAGGTGACTTATAGTGTGATGAACCACATCCATGACAGATATTCTTGAACTGGTGCACTTTGCTGACCAGAACAGCAGCATGTCTGCACCCAAAGCAAGTAATTAATATCATCCTGCACTATGGCTTCATACTGAATTCCATCATCGAGCAAGGCATTGATGGTACAGCCCTTCTACTTGCCCAAAAGCTTTCTTGAAAGCTTTGATCAGGGTACAATCAATTACCAATTCAATTAGCTTCACTGAGAATTGTTCTTCAGAAATATTACACTCATGCCCTTCAATTGGCATCTGGAAAAAATCATCAATGGGCTCTTGCAGTTTCAGTCTTTACACCATGAGTTGGAGTCTATTAATACCTCAAGTATACTCCAGACCTTCTCTGGCTCTTTGTTATCCCCCTCGGAAAAACCAAATATGTTTATTTGGGAAAAAACAGCATGTAATGTTTTAAGAGATATCCTCTCAAGATCATTTGTAAGGTAATCTGAAAAATAAAGCTGCGTATGTAGCTTAATTGCTGCCCAATTCACAGTCAAATGCTGGCCTTCCATTTTTTATTAAAGATTTGTGACCGTTTTGTTGAAATAGAGTGCGTAGCTTGTTTATTCCTATCATTTACATGGTTTACAGTTCTGACACTTTACATTTCCTTCTTTTGCTTCTATTTTATATGGTTAAGATTTTTCAAGAAGTTTAGCTCACTGTGGGTCTGTGTCTTTAAGAATGAAGCCCTGTAGAAGCAGATTTCAGCCATTAGAGAGAGTTGGCACCAAATAAGAAGCAATGACATCACATTTGCTCTGGCATCGAACTGAAGATGACAACATGGCAGAACCAACAGACCACTGCATACAGATAAGCTGCTCTACGTCAGAAAATCGACTTTTAGTACTTAAAAAGAAAAGATTTTCCCGCCGCCAAACAGGTGTGTCGTTAAACTGGCAGTATTTTTTGACTGTCAATATTAGTGCTGGACTTGTAAGAAGCCTTTAGGCTGATGATTTGACTTTTACACCTGTAAAGAAGCCTTTTTGACTGCTGTATCTTAACACCAAGAAGCTGGGTCGAAAGTTGTAAAAAGAAGCACAGCTTTATAGGGCTTGAAGTAGATGGAAAGTAAGTCAGCCTCCGGGCTGTTTGGAGTTGAAGACCTGTACTCACACAAAGTTCTTCTGGTTAGTCATCTGAATGCTTTGCAATCCAGGGCTGTCTGATCTTCCGTGGGGATTTTCTTATAAGCAGTTTGCTTAGTAACTCAGTGCCACCATGACCGGAGGTGGAACAGTGTATTGATGATCTTCCTCTATCACACTGTGATATTTACGTTCATCCGTAACATAAGACATTGGTCACACAGTACTGAATTTATGTTACAGTACTTGATATCCACATTTATACATTACTACCATATACACTTGTGTATCTGGGCTTCAGCTAAGCAATCTGGATGCACTGCAACACAGTTGCCGCAGTGTGTCATTCTGTCATGCTGCAGGAGAATAGAGCTCACAGTAAAGATGGACATTGCAAGTTTTCTACCATTACATCACAATGCCATACTGCAGTGGTGACATCATGAGCGTGTCTTTTAAAAGGTAGATTACACATTTGCTGCAAGACAATACACAACAACGAGGACGTCAAACGGGTGATTCCCTCATGTTTGTTCTTTCTGCACCAATTGTCTATCCAGAATAGATTCAATGCTCTTGTCAGCCCAAGGCCAGGATTTAACTGTCAGAGCGAAGCAACAACATTGATTAAATGGTCTTGACAAAAGTTGCCCATTAAAATCTAGCAATCGGTGCAGAACGAATTTTCCCTGTCCAAACGACAGTTTATATCCAGCACCAAATCAACAAGATCTCGTGTGGCAGCTTGTTATTGGCTGCCTACTTACTTGAAGTATTCATACACAGGAAGCCATCAGTTAAAAGCACTTGAAACACTCAAATACATTGCAGACAGTTACCTATGGAAACCTTAGCACACCTCATGGACTTGCATGTTACTCTGTACATGTCTGAATTCCTGAAGTCGCTTTCAATTTTTAATTAAGTAATGATGGCAAAAGCTGACAAGTTGGTCATCATTACCACAGCAAAATTAGGACAAAAGTCAGCATTAATTCCAATTGGAATCCAGCATGGAACAGTACTGATTAATCAGAGTAGAGCAGTGAGGTTGCAATAACCTATTCCTGTTATATTGTATAATAACTTTGATAAACTTTAGTGGTTTATTATACCACTTCAGCCTCCAATTTAGTGTCATGTACATTAGCATAGGACTGGAATAATTGCCCAAACAAGGTACAAACAGTAGATTTCTTCCCTAAAGCACCTATAGTTAAAAGCAGTTAGCATTCGTTCCATTTCAGCATATTGTGAAATAGCTCCAAAAGAATAGTCTAAAATTTTAATTTCAACAATTAATTTTTTAACAAAAAATCCAAATACAGTTTAACTGCACAATGACTATAATTGCAGAAAAGTGAAGCAACACAAAAAAAACATAAAAGACTAGCCATCATCATTCAAACCAGATTCACAAGTATGTTCTTAGTAATGTTAATGTAGAAACACTATAGCCACACATTCTGAAATGAAATCTAAATGAACTAAAGAAACAAGGCAAGATGTAATACATAATCTTGAATATTTAATCACCTTTTAGTTTCTAATAATTCAAAACAGAGCTCTTCCTAACAGTATAGTTGTTCTCATATCACAGACTGTTGCAGTCCACCACAACCTTTAAGGGTAATTAAGGATCAGTAATAATTGCTGGCTTTTCCAACACTATCCACATCCCAACAATGGTTATATCCCTCAAATTATTAGTTTTGCCAAAGGTAAATTTATATTCTTACTTGCAGGGAACTGTACACTGAAGAAAGTCCACCATCTTCTGCGCATGTTGCTTGGAACCATAGTAGAAATCCAGACCATCTAAAGTCAAAATTCAAACGGGGTTAAAATATTCTTGACCAGTTCAAAACATTCAAGTTAGCTTAAAATAGAATGTGTGTGGACAAAAAAAAAGGTGCAACATAAGCCTGCACTACTTCAGCCATACCTTAAACATTGATCTAGTTTCTCTTTCAAATATGCCCGAATGTTAGAAGCAGATAACAACCCTTTAAAAATCTAACTAAATTCGGAAGTGAACTTGTATGTGGAATTCCAAACTGGGCATCTCAAAAGCCATTTTGTCCATCTATTTATCCTTGATATTACTATGCAATGATGAATACTTAACATTTTCAAAAACAATTCAGTTTATTACACATCAATTTGCTCATTTTAAATGATTTACATCCGTTTATTTTAATGACAACCAAAGGGATGGTAAAAGTGTGTAACAAATTTCTGAAGTTTACAAAACACAGGAAATCAAATTGCAAAAAACGTTACTCTTAGCTATTTTTCATGTCTATGCCCGTGAGAATGTATAGGTTTCACAAAAACAGTCAATAAAGCAATATGTTACTGGAACAAATGGAATTGAAAGTCCAAGCTGAGTTTTCAGTATTTTGAATTAATTGATCTCAACTTGAATATCAATGGACAGCAAAAGAATTCTGTACTCCCTGGCCCCTTTCCACCGACAGCCCCAGGAAAGCATGCACGACAGAATATCTTTTTTAAAAATTGTTCAAAGCACAGATCTAATGCCTATAATAGTCTTTCACCCCAGACTTTCATGAAATTAGTTGGTTAGGGAACAACTGCCTGTCCAACTGTCAAAACTTCATTTAAATTTCATGGAAAAAAAAATATACATATGGTGAGCATTCTGGTACACTATCAATCTAACAACCAAGAGGAAGAACTAGTTCACAATATTCACTTACCATGGATTTCCTTGACACGAAGCGTGTTTTGATGTAACTTATGTTTAAGGATTAATTGTTCCAAGTAATAAAACGTTTTCTTGTGTGGAGTCTAAGGAGAAAATAACAGTAATAGGAAGGAAACAACTTCTCATTTTAAAAGAAATCTTATTTCACTAAAACTATTTTTAAGTTACATGTACTCTTCTAGTATGAACACCACTAATCAAAACAAATAAAATTTCAGTTAAGTATAAAGTTAAATATGCTGCAAAACTTTGATAGGGCACTTTTTGAAGACAGCTTCAGAACACACAAGTTGCAATGAAAGAGACCAAAATTATCCACATCATGTAGTTAAGTCAAAGGGTTTTCACTCCAATTACTGCAGGTTAATAAACATATTTTACTTGAAGTTCACAGTTTTAAGTCAAGTACATTTATTTGCAACTGACAGCAGTGTCTGTATTTATGATATTTGACAAGTTAGAATGAATGGTTAAGTTAAAAGACAAAAAAACCCACTGTTAATTTGGAAAATTTGATCAATTCCTGTTTGCATAAAAGAGGAAACAGTTTAACAACGCACTTTCCGGAGGTATGCTGCTGTGATATATGGCCTTACATGCACAATGAACCTGGAATTGAACCCCTTTTAATGCCTCTCTAGGGAGCATGATTTCTGCTCATCCATATAATTTCCACCACTCAGCCAAAGGAATCGTCTTAAAAAAAAAAATCACAATCAGGGGAAATGAACTCCCTGGTCTATGCTGGGGAGTTATGCCGGTTTTGTGGTGGAAACTTACTACAGCTTGCCAAAGGAATACAAAGACAGGGAACACAATGTCTCCAGATTTTTATTTTTGACACAAGTCCTGTTCTTCTCCATGTGCCTCACAGATGTTTTACAAAAATGCTGGGAATTATTAATTCATAATAGTTGTTGAATTTTGTAAATGTAAACACAATGTTGTTGAAGGAGTCCAGGTGAGTTGCTGCGAAGCACATTAACGACTGCAATATATGCTACCTACAATGGTGATGGGAGAGAACGTTGAAGGTAGTGGATAGGGTGATAATTAAGCAGGTGTTTTATTTCCAATGGACTTTCATTGGAGATGCACCCATAAAAGCAACTGGAGAGTACTTTTTCCTGTGCTGTTGACCTCTGTGCTCAGTTGTGGCTTTTGGATGGAGGACAGTCAAGGGGCAAATTATTTGACATGTTTGTGTTTATACAGCTAGATGAACATTAGCAAATAGCCTGCTTCTGATCTAATGATGGAGAGAAGGTCATTGACGAAGCAGCTGAAAATGGTTTGGCCTAGAACACTACCAACTCTAACAGTCACAATCATCATCCTTTGTGCTAGCTATGACTCCAAACAGCAGCGAGCTCTCCCTGATGCCCAATAGTTCCAATTCTGTCAGGGTTCCTAATGCCATATTTGGTCAAATCCTGCCGTATTGTCAAGGGCAGTAACTTTCCTCACTTCTGGCGCTTAACTCTTCTGTCCATGTTTGGACCAAGCTGTAATGAGTTTAGGAGCTGAGTGGCTCAGGCAGAACCCAAACCAAGCATCAGTGAGAGGGTTACTGCAAAGAAAGTGCTGCTGGATAAAGCTGTCAATGATCCTATCCATTATTTCACTGATTGTCCTTTTGAGAGTAGACAATAACTAGCCTATCACCATCCCACCCACCTTCCCCAGCTCCACCCCGACTCTCTCTATTTCCCAGCTCCTTTTCCCCTCCCTATTTCTGAAGAATGGTCCCAACCCAAAACGTTAATTTTCCTGCTTCTCTGATGCTGCCTGACCTGCTGTGTTCCTCCAGCTCCACACTGTGTTATCTCTGACTCCAGCATCTGCAGTTCTTGCTATCTCACAGTAATTGGCGCAGTTGGATTTATTTTTTCATGTCTGCACAGAGCATACCTGGGCAATTACCTACATTGTCGATATCCGTGATGTAGACGACTGGAACAGCTTGGCTGGGGATGCAGCTAGTTATTAAGGATGCTTTCGGTACTATTGCTAGAACATTATTTGGGCCCATAACAACCTTTGCAGTATCCAGTTCTTTCAGTCACTTCTTGATAATCACATGAAGTGCATCAAATTGTCTGAAGACTGGCGTCAATATTCTGGGGATTTCAGAAGGAGGTGGAGATAGATCATCAATTTTCACTCAGTACTACTGGCTAAAGATGAATGCAAACGCTTCAGCTTTGTGTTTTGCACTGATATGCTGGACTTTCCCCACCATTTGGGGTGGGGATATTTGTGTGGCTGCAACCTATACTTGTTTAATTACCAACCAGAATTCACAGTCAGATGTGGCAGAACCTTGAGGTGATGTATTGGTTGTTTAAGTATTTAGCCCTGTCTATCGGATGCTGTTTCCACTGTTCGGCATGCAACCTCACTTTTAAGCACACCTATTGCTAATCCATTCTGCATGCCAGGTCTCCCTCCCTGTCCTTCCCCCAGCCTACCAGGCTTGATGATAATGAAAGTGGGGGGTATGCCTTAGTGCTTCAATGAGCTTAAAACATTAAGATTTTTAACGTTACTATTGCACAATGAAATAAATTGCTTATTCACCTTTTGTCGGACTTGTACAACTGCTTTCCAATAGTCTTTAGCTTCAACACGGTGACAATCATCACACATCTGTGGCAGGATGACAAAATCAACCACAAAAACCTGCTGCAAGATTGTTCCACTTATTACCTGCCAACAAAATTCACAGATGGAAACAGTCATAACAGTTTGATTATTAAATTCTGAGATTGACTTATTACATCACAGACTAGATGTTCAAGGTCAGAACTGCCTTTTCAGTCAGAGGATCAAAATACAGAGGAAATATAAAGGACTCAAACAGATACAGACAGAGTCCTTTAGCAAATTATCTGACAAGCGTACCCCAGAAAACACACAGATAAAAAGGGAGAAGAGAAAAATATCTAAAACTGACTGGTATGAAAAACGAAACATAAAAAACATCCACTCTTGAACAATGGCCCTTCCCAACCAATAACCTGATCCTGAAAGGATGGTACACCACTTGAAGGCCTGGCTGAAAACTGACTAATCAAAACTAACCACTTCCCCTACTCACTTAAGCCAACTTTCACAAATAGTCACTGCTTATATTCTCATACAAACAATGTGAGGTTAATTTTTGCTGATTATCCTATCTATATTTAAAAATTGAACCTTTCTAATTTTGCATAAAATCCTTAATGTCTCCCTTCAAGATATTTAATGTAGTGGAGTGAGAATATGTCATTTCAGGATGCTTTTATAATAAAACACACACGTTGCTGTCACTTTCTGCTATAAATGCAGGCACCCAAAAGAAAATCAGGAAAAGCAGTCACCATTGTTGAATCTTCTCACCTCCTTTTGAACTGTAAGTTTCACCTTTAATCTCTTGGAATGAGGCTCGGTCCAAATAAAGCCAGCATCAATTAGACGTACCTGAATAAAAGTAATAACTTATGTCAAAGCTGCAAAAAGCATCATCACAATTCATCTTCCCTACAAGTTTAATTACGACACAAAACTTTCTAAATTAGCAATATTTTACTTCATATTTCAGATTGCATAAATATTCTAAGATGGAGTCTTTGGTGGTCAGTCACCAGACCCTCGCAAAATGTCCTACTTTGACATATTTTCTTTTCAGCTATTCCCCTCTTCTGAGAGCACTAACATTGCTGATGTTAATCACAAATAACCTCCTTAAACACATTCTTAGCAACAAAATTTACATGCCTACAGCAGCTGCAATATCTGGTGTGCATTTTAGCAGGAAGAATAGAAAGGGAAGAGGAGAGCAAGCGGAGTGAAGAGACACCATTATAACAACATCCAATACCGCTTGAAAATATATATTCCCAATAGTGACAAAGCTGACAAACCTTGTTGAGATTCATTGATTGTTTACTTTTAAAAGTCTAAATGTTGGAAAAATTTGTCATCAGGTCCCTAGATGTTCCATCTTTCAGTGAGATCCAAGTACTAATATTTGTTATTTATGAATATATCATAATTTTTTATGAATAATGGACAACAAAACCGGAAGGGATTGTTCAGTAATCTAGATCCTTTTGCAGGGTAATTGGTATAAATTGCAGTGACACTGAGTTTCTACAAAGTTCTGTTACTATTTGGTCTAAAGAACATGGCAAAGGTCAACATTTCCACAGCAACCTATGACCACATTCAATCTGGTTCACTGAAACCACTGTCTCCTGAATTTTACAGGAAGGCCTTGTGAATGGCTGACAAATCTAAACTAAAAGATATATCTGTTCTCAAGGCAACCACTGGAAAAGGGAGAAAAAATAATCTGGTAGAAAGTGGCTAAGGCCAGCTTTCAGGTACTTAACCAGTCTATAGGTACAAGGTTAATCCAAATTCAACAATGGGTGAGGAGGCATGGGCCGCCTTTTTGTAAAGATAGCTCATCCATTTGAAGAGGCAGTGCCCCACGCAAGAGCAAACGCAGGAAGTAAACTCCTCCGAAGGGTCCTCCTGGCTAAATACCAAATTTTTTGAAGTTTTTTTTTCGCTAGTAGATACTAAGGCTTACATATGGTGAGTGTAGATTTATTTTTAAGTCATGGCAGATCTACAAAACAAAATAATGTTCAAGAACAGGTAGGTATGCATTTCTGACTTTCATGGATGCAAAATAACACCATCTAAATTTCATATTTTCCAGTTCCTTGTCTGCCTCAACAACCAGCATGAAGGTCTCACCCATGTAATAGTGAATTTTAGTGTATTCAATGCAGTTCAGTTGGCTAGTCACAGGACATGTCCAATCTTGTTAGCAACCTGCTCTATTGGTAATCCATCATCCAACAAACAGCAGTAGTAATGTGTACCATTTACAAGATGCAACTCAGTAACTTTCCTTCAACAGCATCATCCAAACCTGTGACCCTTACCACCTGGAAGGACAAGGATAGCAAACACATGGTGGCAAGTTGCCCTCTAAGCCTTACACCATCCTTACTTGGAACTATATCACCATTCGTCCACTGTCACTGCATCAAAATCCTGAAACTCCTTTCCTTGAAATATTATGGGTGCAATTATCCCTAAATGGATTGCAGCAGTTCAAGTTGGCAGCTGAAAATGCCCCATCTGGACATTGCAAATTTCTGAACTGTAGTCACTGTTGCGTCTAACAAATGAAGCAGCTAATTTACACGTAACAAGCTACCGCAAACTGCAATGTGTTAATGACCAGATAATTTACTTTTGATGTGTTGATTGAGTGATAACTGTTATCTGTAACACTAGCAATAACTCATTTTTCTCCTCAGGGTAGTGCAGTAAGATCCAACAGAGACAGATGAGTTCTGGGTTTCAACATCTCATCTAAAGGATGGAACTTCAAACATGCAGTACTCCCTCATTTCTGCACACAACTGCCAGCCTTGATTTCTGTGCTCAAAAGTCTTGGAGTAGGACATGAACCTACAAATTTTTGCCTCAGCATTGAGTTTATCATCAAGATTGCCATGGCTGATCTTACCATTGCACATTGATTGCAATCAGGACCCACAGTTCTGTTTTGCATAAATGATCTTGTTGATATAGTTATTGCAATCAAAAGCTTGAATACCTGTCAACGAGTTTCCTCTGCAGCTGTCAGTCACAAACTGCACCTGTGTCACAATGACAAAGGTAAACCCTCTCTCATTCTTCTCAACCGTCTACATGGTTGTGTCATCACTCTTCGACATCTCTCCAGTCAACCAGCTGGCTGAGGCTGCACTCACCTAGGTCCTTCATCAATCCATTCATAGCCAGAGAATAACCTATACTAACTTCTCTTCTAGCTCCCACCATAACTTCGAATGTCCTCCAAAAAACTATCCACAACCTTTGTTGACTCTCAGCTTGACTGTTCAATGCATTCTTGGCTGGCTTTCCACACCCTATGCTGCCTAAATCTGATGGCGGCCAAAACTGTTGCTCAGGTCTTAAGCATTTTTCACTTATCGCCCTTCTGTTCACTGACCTACACAGATTCTAAATGAAGCAAAATCCCAACTTTAAAATTCTCTTCCTTGTTTCAAATCCCTCCACAGCCTCACCCTCGCACTTTTAACCTTGTCCAGCCCAAAACTTTCCAAGATAGCTATAATCCTTCTGGCTTGAATACTTGCACTATTTAATCAAAACATGCCGTTAGTTGCCAAGGAACTAAACTTTGAAATTCCCTCTCTAAACTTCTCCAGCTATCTTCTTTGCTTTCTTAGATCATAAGACCACAAGACACAGAAGCAGAAATTAGGCCAATTCAGCCCATCGAGTCTGCTCTGCCATTCAATCATGACTGCTATGTTTCTCAACCCCGTTCTCCCGCTTTCTCCCCGTGACCCTTGATCCCCTTGCCAATCAAGAACCTATCCATCTCCGTCTTAAATATACTCAATGACCTGGCCTCTGCAGTCTTCTGCGGCAGTCAATTCCACAGATTCACCACTCTCTGCCTGAAGAAGTTTCTCCTTACCTCTGATCTAAAACGTCTTCCCTTTGCCCCAAGGCTGTGCCCTCGGGTCCTAGTCTCTCCTACCAATGGAAACATCTTCCCTGCATCCACTCTGTCCAGGCCATTCAGTATTCTGCAAGTTTCAATTAACTCCCCCGTTATCCTTCTAAACTCCATCGAGTAAAGACCCAGAGTCCTCAAACATTCCTCATATGTTAAGCTTTTCATTCCTGGGACCATTCTTGTGAACCTCCTCTGAACCACTCCAGGGCCAGTACATCCTTCCTGAGATATGGGGCCCAAAACTGCACACAATTCTCCAAATGTGGTCTGACCAGAGCCCTACAAAGCCTCAGAAGTACATCCCTGCTTTTATATCCAAGTCCTCTCAAAAAAATTGCCAAAATTGCATTTGCCTTCCTAACTACTGACATTTTCTGAAGAAGGGTCTAGGCCCGAAACGTCAGCTTTCCTGCTCCTCTGATGCTGCTTGGCCTGCTGTGTTCATCCAGCTCTACACCTTGTTATCTCTACTGACTTAACTTGCAAGTTTACCTTGAGAATCCTGGACTAGAACTCTCTTTGCACTTCAGACTTCTGAATTTTCTCCCCATTTAGAAAATAGTCCATGCTTCTATTCTTCTTACCAAAGTGCATGACCTCACACTTACCCACGTTGTACTCCATCTGCCAATTTTTTTCCCCACTCTCCTAACCTATCCAAATCCTCCCCACTTCCTCAATACTATCTGTCCCTCTACCTATCTTTGTATCATTTGCAAACTTAGCGAGAACGCCCTCAATTCCTTCATCTAGATCATTAATGTATAAAGGGAAAAGTTGTGTCCCAACACCGAACCTTGCAGAAAACCAGCTGCCATTCTGAGAAAGACCCTTTTAACCCCACTCTCTGCTTTCTGCCAGACAGTCAGTCAATCTTCTATCCATGCTAGTACCTTGCCTCTAACACTATGGCTCTTATTTTACTCAGCAGTCTCCTGAGCAGCACCTTGTCAAAGGCATTCTTAAAGTCCAGGTAGATAAAGCATCCATTGGCTCTCCTTGGTGTAACCAGCTTGTTATTTCCTCAAAGAGTTCTCACAGATTTGTCAGGCATGACTTCCCCTTGATGAAGCCATGCTGACTTTGCCCTATTTTACCATGTACTTCCAAGTAATCAGAAATCTCATCCTCCACAGCGGACTCCAAGATGTTACCCACAACAGAGGCTGGGCTAATCGGCCTGTAATTTTCCGTCTTTCGCCTTACTCCCTTTTTAAACAGGGGTGTCACGTCAGCAATTTTCCAGTCCTCTGGGACCCTCCCTGACTCCAGCGATCTGAAAGATCACCAATAACACCTCCACTATCTCTTCAGCTATCTCCTTAAGAACTCTGGGTGTAGCCCATCTGGTCCAACTGATTTATCCATCTTCAGGCCATTCACTTTTTCTAGCACCTTCTCCTTGGTGATGGCCACCATACTCAGCTCTGCTCCCTGACTCTCTTGAATTTTGAGGATATTACTTGTGTCTTCCACTGTGAAGACTAACGCAAAATAATTATTCAGTTCCTCAGCCATTTCCTTGTTCCCCACTACTATCTCTCCAGCGTCATTTTCCAGCGGTCCAATGTCCACTTTTGCCCTTTATAAAGGAACTCTTACAGCCCTCCTTTATATTACTGGCTAGTCTACCCTCATATTTAATCTTCTCCCTTTTTTTTTTGTTGCCCTCCGTTGGTCTTTGTAAGCTTCCCAATCCTCTGGTTTCTCACTGCCCTTTGCCACATTTTATGCTTTTTCTTTTGCTTTTATGCTATCACTACCTTCCCTAGTCAGCCACGGTTGCCTCATCCTCCCTGTACCATGCTTCTTTTTCCTATGGATGAATTTTTGCTGTGCCTCCTGAATTACTCCTAGAAACTCCTGCCATTGCTGTTCCACTGTCTTTCCTGCTAGGCTCCTCTCCCAGTCAATTCTGCCCAGCTCCTCCCTCATGCCTCTGTAGTTGCCTTTATTCACCCGTAATACTATTCTATCTTTTCCATCTCAAACTGCAGAGTAAATGCAATCATATTGTGATCACTGCCTCCTAAGAGTTCCTTCACCTTAAGCTCCCTTAATCAAGTCTGCCTCATTACACAACACTAAATCCAGTATTGTCTGTTTGTTCGTGGGCTCCACCACAAGCTGCTCCAAAAAGCCATCTTGTAGACATTCCACAAATTCCTTTTCTTGAAATCTACTTTCTTCTTTCAAAATATTTGTCCATACCGTTTGTTTTTATTTAATACAAACCGATGTAGTTTATAATGTTAATTCATAACACTTGTGAAGCTACACGGACGTTTATGATTTTAAAGGCTTTATATAAATTGATGACGCTGATGAAAAATTCAGGGTTTCAAAACTATTAGCATGTACAGAATTAACTCTTTACTGAGAAATATGTGGACTTGACAGTACACATTACTTAGATAGTAACATTCAAAAATCAAACCAATGAAGAACTGAATCTACTTTCCTCTTATATAAACATCAATAAATATCTCACTTTTCTGATAGTTCAACTTCAAATTCACCTTAAAAATATTACAGGAATAGATTCAAGATAGAAACATGTTTGTATTTTCAATATATTTAAGAAGTAATACTTCCAGGGTATGCTGAAATATAAGTCAACTTTTTAATAACAACTGATAAAATAGAATTCTAAATTTCTGGCAAGTCGGCAATGTCATTAATGCTATTATAACTGCAGCTAGCATAACAGACCACTGCTACGCATGCACAACTATGGAAAGTATTCGAAGTCATTATCAAAAGGTTTTACTAAGACAATTTTGTACTTTTTCCCATTGGATCGTAATAACTACATCATTAAGTTATTAAAATATAAATGTTTCTGACTGCCATCAATTTATCAATGCTAAGCAGCAAGACCCAAAATGAAACATCCATTTTGTTATGTGATCCTGTGTACTAACTTTGGTCAAGGGGGATTTTAGTTTCTTAAGGCACAAAGTTAGAAGTTCTCTTGATTCCAATGCACACTGCATCCAAGTTCCTGGTGGCTGAAGATATCTGGGAAAAAAAAGACAACATCTCTTAATTAGTTCAGAAATCTACATCATTTATTAAAAATCTACCAATCAGGATTGGTATGCATCCGACTCAATTCTCAATAATACTGATAGCCAGCAATTAGACAGACTCGAATGAGTAATCAGTGGGTCTCACAAGTGCCATGTGCTGCTGAATTACATGGTTTCAGCTAGTTAAATTAACCATTCTGTATCTTACAGATTAAACTTGGTGAGGAAATGATCTTCCTACAAAAATGAGCACATTGCTTAACACTGCCCAAACTTGGCTAAGCAATGCAGTGGATTTTTGCATGCATCGAACACAGCTGACTTAGTTCAATAATACACTATTAATAACATTTTTCAGGTTCATTACACTAAGACTCAAGTTTCTTCTGGCAATTAAAGAAAATACAAGGGTATTAGTGGGCATGTTCAACACAACTTTAGAATACACTACACAGATCAAAATAAGTGAATTTCGTTCTTGTGACTCAACACCGGTAACTATTTGCAGGCAGAAAGCCACTATACTGTGAATTCCTCACAGTCCAGAACTAGCTCATTGAAAGCAACTTTTTAACCTTTCTAACAAAACTTTAAATAATGCTTTTGACAAACAGTGGAACAGTGGAATTGGAGAGCACAGCAGGATGGCTGAAAAGAGGTCATAACGACATGATGATAGAGGGCTGACGGACTAAACCAATGAACACTGATCAAACTGTATAGTGGAGAATACCAACTGGTTTGGAAAATTTAGGATGCAATGAGCGCACTTTACTAATCCAAAGGTATAATGAAAATTACTGATTTACCTGATAATTTAGTTCCCATTTAATGTAAAAAATTTAGGTTATAAAATAATGAACAAACCAAATTTAGTTTCCCAAAGTGTAGAATGATTCTTTATACACATATTTTTATAAATGTGACTGTCCAATGACTGTTATTTTTTTAAATTGAAAACAAACTGTTGCAGTTGTCTGTTTGCTGTTACTATTTTAATCAAAAGGGAATTCTTTGTACAAAGAAAAGCCAACCATTTATCAAAACTTTACAGTTCAATTTTTCCAAAGGGTATTTCACCAATTTAATCTTTAAACAATACTAAAGGCAATTCACAAAACGATAAAGATGGGCTAAATTTTCCCAAGGTTTGGCTAAGTTTCAATAACAGGAAATTTCATGGGGGAGTTTCTCTCCATGAACTCCAGCATGTTTACTCTCACATTTTTAAACTATTCACCTCATTGTTTAGTTCCAGGTCATTGCTCTCAGGCCATCTTCTTCTCTCCAGCGGCACAAATGCTCATCATAGCAAGGGCTGTCAGGCTTTCCCACAACCAGTGCTATATTTACATGCCATCTGTGCACTACTTCAAATGTTGCAAGTCAGGAATTGCTTTTCCACAGTTCCAGTGTGGGAAGATTTGTCCGAGATGGCCAACAGGGGGAGATTGACACACTGTTTTGCTTACAGGGACCTGGAGGTCCTTGTGGATAGTATGGTGAACTGGAGGCCCATCCTCTTTCCTCAGGACCGTCAGTTCACTGAGTCATAAATTTGTTACTATGCAGGAGGCGGCATTCAGCCCAGCATGCCAGCACCAGCAGTTGAGACTAAGCCTAGACCAGACGGGCAGAGTCTGAAGTTGCCACCCAAATCACAGCCATTTCCACGGTCTGAAGGAACATGCAGTAATCCTGCAAGAGGGTCAAAATCGGGTCTAGGCCCGAAACGTCAGCCTCTCTGCTCCTATGATGCTGCTTGGCCTGCTGTGTTCATCCAGCCCTGCACCTTGTTGTCTCGG